CCGGGTTGAGTTGTCTTGCGCCAGTTGTTGTGGCCGGGTCGACGTACCTTGCCGGGTCAAAGAGTTTGGCCGGGTTGCGGGCCCTGTCGGGTGGAGCGACCCGGCCAGGCGCGTGCCGGTTTGCGGGGCGATGCGGGCCCCGCTGTTTTTGAAAAGGATCCGGGTTCCGTTGCCTGCCCGGGGTTCATCCCCCCCCGACAAGGAGGCTGGCTAGAGCTTTCAGTTTCACTCTGTAAGGTTACCCCATTTCTTTGACTTCTAGTATTCGGCCTAGCTATCACCACATTGGGTTTTCTTTCTCTTTTCTTCCTAGACCGCACCATAGTACACTTTTCCTCATCTACCATATTATCCTCCCCCCAATTCATGTTCAAGGGTCTATGATCCCCTTTTTTATTAGTAAGGATCATTGTTCTATTATTCTTATCATGCTCATCAGCATTAGTCGCCATTTTTTCCATGTTTCTACAATTCTCTAGCTCTCTAAGGATATCCACACTGGTAAAATAGTGTCAGGAATGTTAACTCCCATTTTCATAGCCCTAATAATAAGATCAGGGTTGGATAATGCATCAAAGGAATTAGGATTATGGGGAGTACCTTCCAGATCTCGTTTTTTTGCTGCTACCATAGCTTTTTCTTCAATTCTCTCCATCTTGTTCTGTGCATTGCGCAGGCTGAAGCGCAAGTTCTCCTCAGTCACCAGCGGAGGAGCAGCCAGCATCTCGTTATCCATCTCGCCCTCAGGCATCTCAACCACATACTCCGTAGTGTTTGCAACATCAGCAACACAGTGGTCAGTAACATCCACCGCCTAATGAGATTTTTTAACGATGTCAGAGTAAGATTTTTTTGGCAAGATCATGCAAGTATATGTAGGAGTTTCAACAGGGGGTCTTACTTTTTCCTGAGACATTTCAAGTGCCATGGTTTCAATAAGGAGGGTATTGTGGAGCGATTCATCTGAATCAGTGCTTTCTTGCGACTCCCGAATTGGGTCCGGCTTACCACCATGGGGAATACAGGAAGAATTCCCTCCAGGGCCATGTGGTAAGTCAGCCATTTGAGCTCCAGGAGTCGAAGAGGAAGCATTCTTTTTTTCAATGTTGCTTTGATCAGGATTAGAAGGTGCTTGCACCCTCTCCTTTTCCCTTTCAGGATCTCTCACCAAGACCTGTTCCACCTCATAGTAAAAATCATAAAAATGATCACGAAGGACAGCTTCTGCTACAACAGGAATCTCGTCAACATTTTTGCATCCTACCTTAACCCGGATAGAGGCTTGGCGGTGTAGGGTAGCAGCATCAATTTCCAAGGGAACTCCAACCAGAGATGACACATATGCCAAATCCCTTTCACTTCTTTTGTCTAATGGTACATTGCTAACCTTAACCCAAGCCACCTCCATCACCCCCTTGGCCCCCACTCATGAAGACCAGAGCGTAGCATGGATAACAGCCCCGCTAGTTTTAAGAGTAACTCTCCCAACATAGCATATCTATGCAACTGTGCGAGGATTAGGGAAGCGAACAACAAATACCCCCGGCCCTATCATATGAGCAGAGCACTTCCATCCAGTGGCAAGATAAGCATTTAGATCTAACTCCATCTGACGAGTAGATGTTTCCCCTTCCACTATCATAATTAACAACAATGTTATTGGCCCTCTCCTTAATCTGACTAGCAGTACAAGAGTCATGAATGTAGTAAAATCCCGCCCCTTAGCTTGAAAAGCACACATAGGTGTCATACACTCCCAAGGCAGGAATTCTACACAGACAGAGGCCATATGACCTAGCTTGCTACATCGCTCACATTAAGCTTGAGGGCAACGAGTAGGGGGGTGTTCATGCGCTTTGCAAATGGGACATGTATCCGATTTTTTTGGAAGGGAGCACCTGAGCAGGGGTTTTCTTCCTCTGATTCTGGCAAGGAGAGGATGCAGCTTGGCGCCCGGCGGTGGTGTCGCCCGAGCCCGACGAGGCTTGAGCCTTCTGCACCCAGATCCCGCCGTCCTGGACCTCACGACGGCTGGCACCCGCCGCCTCGTCCCAGCGCGAGTTGCCCCCCGACCCCCGCTGGACAGCAGATGAGGTCGTGTTGGAGTGGTCGCCTCCATCTTCACGCCACCAGGAGAACTTGCTGTGGTCGCCCCCGCGGCCGGCCTGGCGCCCACCTCCGCGTTTCGAGCGGCCGCCGCCGCCGCCACCTCCGCGTCTCTCCCCATGGATACCGCGCCCCACATCGTTCGCCATGGGTGGACTGGCTGCGACAGCCGCGAACGAACGGAGATCTCCCCCCCAACTTGCCCTCCCACCACTCAAAAGTCTTTGGGATTTTGGATCTAGGGTTCTTCGCCGCCGCCCAGAAATGGGAGAAGGAAGCCTCTAGGTCAAGGATCGAGTGGGGAGGGAATTTATACCCGTGCTGTCGCCCCGCGGGGTGGGGTGGATCGATCCCACGTGTCGCGCATCCGCCATTGATGGGTTGTTGGTGGGGTTTGGGTGCGTCCAGGTTCGACTCGGTTCGGTTGCGTGCAACCCCGCACGTCTCCCGTGTACCGCAGCATCACGTCTCGTGTCGCCCTGCACGTACGCCAGCGCGGTGGTCGCCGCCGGTAGCCGGTCCCGCACCTTGGTGAAATGGCAGGGGAAGGAGACCACATCATCGATGTCTATCTCTTCTCCCTGTCGAAGGAAGCACACATCGATCGTGACACCACGCGAGTCCGTGAGGACTAGGCGGAGTGCATCCCGTCGCAGCGTGAGACTCCGTCATTGAACGAGATCGTGCGAGCAAGGTGGAGATCGGCGGCATACGAGACTCGCCATCTCGGATCAGGAGCGCCGCCATTCCCGTCGCTCGCGCTCGCCATCTCCTGCAGTCTGGAATCAGGAGCTAACCTATCCTGAAGCAAGTAGGCACAACACCAGAAAAATGGTGGTTGAGCAAAACTTTCGTACAATTTGTTCAGGGTACTCTCCTAAGCGGCGATGAGATCACAGTGAAGAGAATGTCCAAGAGCTCAACTCAAGGAGTGGAAGAGAACAAGTAAGTATTAACAATGACACATTTGAAAGATATTGGAAATCTAAGCAAGTCAAACTTTATCAAGAACAATATAACTTGAGCAGGCACTAATTCTTACAAAAAGTGCTCAATTTTTAAACTTTTCACGTATACAGAACAAGTTTTTGTTAGACATGTATGTACAAAACAAAAAAAAAATGTCAGTACAAAACAAGTGCCTTGTACTCCTAGCAAATTAAAGGAAAAAGTCCATTTTAAACCCTGAATTTGTAGAGGTTCGGTGAAATGAAACCTCAAGTCGAAATCCCGGTCGATTGCACCCTGAACTATGCAATCCCGGTCTAAATCGAACCTTCGGTTCGTTTGGATGGCCGGGATTCGGACATTTCACAAAGGGCGCACACCAGCTCCTGCTGGGCCAGCCCGCTTTATTTTTTTCAATTCAAAAACAAAAATTCGCCAAGGGCGGTACTCCCTGCTGGGCCGGCCCGCATAATTTTTTCGTTAAAAAGCAAAAAAAAAACTCTGCTCGAACATGAGACCCCATGCTGGTGCTGTTTGATCGAAAAAAAAGAAACTTGTGAACTAGAATTTCAAAAATAAAAATAGTTTACAAATTTTGAAAAAAAAAATCACGGATTTAGAAAAAGTTCAACAATATTGAAAGAAGTTCATGGGTTTTCAAAAGAAGAGGCCACGGATTTGGGAAAAAAATTCATAGATTTAAAAAAAAACTGTAAAATTGAAAAAGTATTCGTGCATATTTTTATTTAATATTTCTTTATTATCTTTTTTTATTTTTCATGTATATATACAAAGTTCATTGCATATATTAAGGAAATCTTCACAGTAATTTCCAAAAATTTCACTCATTTAAAAAAATGTTCATCTTGTATTAGTAATTTGTTCGGTGTATATCGCACAATTGTTGAATATTTATTCCGAATTTGTTCAACATATATTACAAAAATGTTCATTTATTAATATTTTTTTTAAAATGCTATCATATATTTTCCGCAAGTTTGAATAATGTTCCACCACCTTTTCATTTTTGTTCGCATTCCAAAATGCGTAGAATACAAATTTTGTGCGCATTTTGAAAAAGTTTTTGTTTTAACTTTTTTGTCGCTAAACTAAAAACATTCCCGTTATATATTTTCTAAAAATACTAAAAGCTGTTCACAATCTCAAAAAGTGTTCGTGATTTTCGTAATTTGTTTGTTTTTCAGATATTTTCTTTGAAAATTGTTCGCGTTTTTGGAATCTGTTTGGGGTTTGCAAATTTTGTTCGTGTTTCATGTTGAAATCAAAATTACAAAACACCTTCACTTTTCCAAAAATATGGAATACAAAAAAGTGCGGCATCTTAAAACTGCTCGCAATTTTCAAGAAATGTTTTCCAATCTCAACGCTGCTTTCTATTCTTATATATTTCTGAACCGTGATGTTCAAGTTGTTGTTCTTGGTGTAGTGGCTAATGGCTCTTTCTTGGTCTCCGTGGTCGTGGGACCGAGTCTTGGTACTCGCTGTTGAATTTCAACATTTTTTTGTCGCGCGGTAAAGGAAACAAAACAACGGCGGGTTGGTGGGCCGGCCCAGTCATGCATCAAGCCTGTGCGTTGAGTTGCTGACATGCCGCTCCTTGGCCCATCAGCTAGACAAATCCCGGTTGCAGTCAGGGTTTAATTTAGAACGGAATTGCAAAGTTCAGGGTGCAATCGACCGGGATTTCGACTTGGAAGTTCATTTGGCCGAACACCTATAAATTCAGAGTTTAAAATAAACCTTTTTCCAAATTAAAGCACGTGCGTACATGTGCCCAGGGAATACAACGAAACGAAACGGGACAAAAATAGTGAGCGTGATTTTTTTAGTGGGCCGACCCACTTTCTTCCACACGTCACTTTCTTTGGGCTGCCGCTTCGACCACGCCACAGTACCGAGAGGAGAGAGGAGAGAGGTTGAGAGAGATGGGTAACCTCCGCCGCCACCACCCACGCCCACGGTCGTCGGCGGCGGGGCCCCTGGATGATGACAACCTGCTCTCCGAGATCCTCCTCCGCCTCGACACGCAGCCGTCCTCCCTCCCCCGCGCTTCCGCCGTCTGCAGGCGCTGGCGTCTCCTCGTCTCCGACCCCGGCTTCTGCCGCCGCTTCCGCCTCCACCACCGCCGCAATCCTCCCCTCCTCGGTGTCCTTGACAAATTTTTCGACGGCGACCTGTCCTTGCTACCTACCGTGGAGGCCCCCAATCGCTTCCCGGAGGGGGGCTTGTCTCTGAGGCTCGACGACTTCTTCGTGCCCATCGGATGTCGCCATGGCCTTGTGCTCGTGTTCCTCTCGCTCGATTCTTGGAGAGAGATCCTGGTGTGGGATCCCATCACCGCCGAGCAGCACCTGATCCTCTTGCCCCCTGGGTTTGTGACGCGCGGGGGGAAGGGTATGATCAATGGGGCCGTGCTTCGGGCCGCCGGAGACGACGACGACATCCAGGTGGTCGTGGTGATGGCAGACAAAGGCAGACCACATAGGCGAGCTTTCTTGTGTGTTTACTCTTCAAAGATCGACCTATGGGGTGAGCTCATATCAACGGTACTTCCATCTATGAGTCTGACTGATGTTGCTTGCACGGGCATGCCCGCTGTGCTGGCTGGGAATTCTCTTTACTGGCTGCTTGTCGGGAAGATTTCTGTAATTCTCGAGTTTGATATGCAGAAACAGAGCCTGGCCTTGATACAGGTGCCAGTGCATATGCTTGAACAGGGGCGTCCCCTAAACTGGATCATGCGGGCAGAGGGTGGTGGCCTTGGTTTACTCTTCGAGACAGACTGCAGCTTCCAATTATGGAAGAGGAACACAGATTCTAATGGTGTTTTTTCATGGGTCCTTGGAAGAACTATCCAACTGGAGAAGCTACCTTTCCTGAATTCAGAGGAGAAAGACATGAGGATACTAGGGCTCGCCGAGGAAAATAATGTGATGTTCATGCGGAAAGGCGGCGTCGTCTTTATGGTCCATCTTGACTCATTGCAGTTCAAGAAACTTCTTGAAAATGACCCCGTTACTTATTATGAGCCATTTGAAAGTGTCTACAACACAGGTAATACCATGCCTTCACACATATCGATTATAATAAACCCAAATTACTTTTTGATAATTGGTTGACACACTACCGGAAACTGGCCCTACCCCGACGGCCAAATCAATGCCGACGGCAGCCGTCGGCCTACTTTGCGCTATGCCGACAGCCACGTCTTGGCCGTCGGCGTACCTTGGCCGTCGGGCTACCACGATCTAAGCCGACGGCACCCGTCGGCATACATATGTCGTCGGCCCAGCTGCGAACATGGCGTCAGCAGCCGTCGGCATAAGCAGGCCGTCGGCATACCCGTGGGCCCGGCGACCCCGCCCATGACCAGCGGCTAACGTCGTCAAATCTATGCCGACGGCCTGGACGGCCGGCCGTCGGCATATATCGTCATGCCACGTCAGAGATCCGCGGCGCACCGTCCATGAGCTAAGCCGACGGCTGCCGTCGGCATACATGCCACGTCAGCGATCCGCGGCACGCCGCCCGCCGCCTAAAACCTGGCCGTCTCTATGCCGACGGCATAGCCGTCGGCATAGGTAGACTTTTTTTTCATATGTATTTTTTTAAGCTTTTTTATGTATTATTATATAAACTAACATCTAGCATGTTAAATATAAACATACATATGAATATATATGTAGTTTGTATTATTTTCATATATTATGAATATATATATATATGGTTTGTATTTTTCGAGCACGTTAATAATGTGCGGTCATGTTCTTTTGAATATAGATCATTATATTTTATTAAAATCAAAAACAGCTATGCCGGCAAAAGTTTTGTGGCGGTTGCAAACGCCCGACACCCGTCTCCAGAGTGTGACCCCCCTCACGTCCGCGGTGTGCCCCCCTCATGGACGGCGCCGGCACCTGGAGGGGGGAAACGGACGCGTCGGGTCTACACGGTGGATGTAGTTGTGGGTTTGGCCCGGATGTTGCTCCCGGGTGTCCCTACGGGTGACCTGACACAACCGGGTGTAGAGGTCCACTGGTCAAAGCCCATCCGTGGGAAGTCAAAAGGCTAGATCTCGTGGTCAACCGCTCCACGGTTAGGCGGGACGGGGGCCCTGGGGGGGTAGCAATGCCACCGGAGCATCGTACCGGACCCTCATACATGTGCGAGGTGGTGTTGTGGCATGTTCAAAGAGGCGGCACGCATCTCAGGGGCGTGGCCCCCCTAACGGACGGCGCCGCCGCCGGCACCTGGA